GGCAATAAGCTATCTACGGTATCAAATATTATAGTTGCATGTACCATTCTGTTCAACATTGGTCTTCGTCTAAATGATGAGATATCATCTGAGCATGAAGGCGTCAATGATGATTGATGATTGATGAACCAGAGCCACCAACAGACCAAGCAGCCAATGTAGGCTCAGAAGATGGATTTGCCATACGCCAAGCAATTATTGATGGTTACAATTAAATTATATTTAACATAAAAAATATTATATTAGTTTTATTTTTCAAGACTGATATTTTTAGAATGCCTAAACTTTCCATTAGTCAAATATGGCTGATAACTGAAAGTTTTATGTGAATAATTCATTCAAATACTTACTAAAGCTAAACACTATAAAGGGTATATAAAAGACCACTTATATAGTTTTTAAATACATAAAGTTTGATATACCCAGCAATATAATAACATTAATAAATATTTTTAATGTATAATAATATCTTAGTACTGTAATACTTGTGAATAACTATTATTCACATAATTTTGTTATACCCAACAATATTATTATCATTAATATATATTTTTAATGTAAAATAATGTCCTAGGTAAAGGTAAAACAATCAATAAGGTTAACTTTTGAAATAAAATACATAATTTACTTATGAGATCAGTTATTATATTTAAAAATAATCAACATATTAACAACAAAACAATATTATTATAGGTAAACACAACACATACTAACAAAAAATATAACAATCTGGACCAAAATTACAGTCTCTCCTAATAAAGATACCTTATCTAATATCAGCACAGTTCTCTTTGTGCCAACTCTGCTCTAGCTTTAGCTTCTCTTAGGTTTTCTTTCAATATCTCCACTTCTAATGAATGCTTTTCTTCTTCAAATTTTTTTCTCATACTGTGTACTTCTTCGGCCCTTTTCTCTCTACTTAAGTGCTCACGTTTTAAAATTTGCACCCTTAATTTTTTTTCATTAAATGAGTAATTGAAGGCATGATGTGTTGCTGGTGGGAAGTCAGTTTGTGGTGACATCGGAGTGGTTTGTGGGTCATTTTGTGGTGGAGATGTTGGTGGTAGCAGACAAGATGTGGATGGTCCTATTATATTGGTGTTTGCAGGTGCAGATAATTGTTCTGGGTTATAAATGAGAGGTGTGGATACTTCTGGCTGGGTTTGGTATATTTCTGTAACATAATATAATAGATATTATTAGAAATACATGTTATTTCATGTAATTTAACAAATAATCTAATCTATATACATATTTAAAAATGAGTCTATATGCCTGTGTGACAATATGAATTCTGACCAATATATTAACTTACATTGAACATATTGATCAGGAAGAAAGCTGAGCTTTACAAAATAGCCTCACCATGTAAATAACACTCATACAAAACTATGACATTATTTCTTTAAAACCACACAGAAGTAAATGGCAGTCTGTATTATCTACCTCCTAGGAAGGCAGGCATTGGCATGAGATTATATGTACATGTAGGTATCTGTCTCCTAATACTCACCTAGAGTATCAGAGTCAAGAGCGTTTGGTATCTCTACTAGGAGAGCTGGTGCAATTTCTGCAATATTTGCATCGATTACAGCATCAGGACAAGGACCTCCTCCACCTGTGGCCAATCTGTGCTGTCGTTCTCTTGTAAGAGAGTCCCTATGGCGGGTTTTGAGGTTGGTCCAAAGGCGGCGTAATTGTTCTCCTGTAGCCTGCAGCATAAGCAGAAAGACAAAGATATAGGAACATTTTACTTATGACAAATTACATTTAAAACACAAAATATACTTACTGATTCTGTTACAACAGCTGAGGTATTAAACCTGTCTGCAATATCAACCTAGGCTTGCTTTTTTAAGTTGGCATGTATGTTGTCGGTTTTCTTATTTTCGATTATATGTCTATACGATTTTAAAATTTCTAAAAGTAGGTTTTTCTCCTGAAAGACAATAAATTTGTATTATAACATTTTATAAAACGTACAAATGTACAAAAGGAAACTAAACAAGAGACCGAAATCAATGCTTGGAAAACACACAGAAACTATTGTAAATGAATTTAGACTGAAGGTGCAAGCCACAATCTTGTTTTTAACCAATATTCTTAATTCGCTGTTCAGTGGTTCAATTAATATAATAATTCAATTCACTTCTATGAAAGTAAAAGTAACATCGGAGGCTGGTCTATTTATGTAATTTTAAATGAGCATTTGCAATGGGAGAGGCCTATGTCCAGCAGTGGACTGCGATAGGCTGATGATGATGATGATGAAATGAGCATTTTAATTCATTCATATTTTATACATACCTGTGTTATAAAGTTCTTCTTTTTCCCACTTGACATATTAAATTACTTGTTTAAATTAAAATCAATTTCAACTTGGGTTTATGATAAAAGTGTATAATATATTAAATAATTTAAATCGTAAATCAAATATATAATTTAAGTTGAACTCGACTCAAAAATGAGTGACAAGTGCTGGTGGTAAATAATTTGCACGTTCCGTTACAGTTTACAGTTAACTATATTTAATATACCATAAATTATATATACATACAATCCTATTTATTATATTTTATTTGAGGCAGGCAACAAGATTAATGAGTTTACATGGTTACACTTGCCAATAGTAGGTATAATGTATTCAAATTCACAGTAATTATGTGTGTTTGAGATTATTATTTTTTAAATTAACTGCGTGGAACGGAGTAAAAAGTTTCATCATGTGGAAATGTAATTGAGAACAGACTGTAAGTTCAAATCAATTCTTGAAACTAGTTTCAACTGAGTAAAACTTAAAACGCGTTCTATAATAAGATCGATACTTAAGTTTTGATCTCCACTTAAAACTAGTTTCAGGCAATCAGAGTTCAACCAATACTTGAGACGTCTTTTAAAATACGGGCCTTAGTCTGTGTCAAATTATGAGATTTAGCAAAACATGTCAACTGATTACACGCTTCAATTACAACAAAAGGGGCGATGTTATTAAAACCGGGGGCGCTACGCTAGCCGCACGTGGTGACGCAAGGAACAGGGGGGCTAAATGTTTTGATATTATAACTAATGCACTGATATTGTATTTTAATTGTTTTAGGTTCTGACTTGTCACGCAAGTGTTCTAATTTATTCTATTTTAAACTGTTCCAACAATTTAAAAATTATTTGAAAAAGACAATGAAATTTTGGTGGTCTTCTAAAACGAACACACTTTTTCCGCATTGGCGCTTTTAATATCTCTTTTTTTTTATAAGGTGTAGACGGAAGTAGCGTTCATACTAATCCAAAATATTAAAAAATGACAGTGCCAGTAAAAGAAATAACAGTGCCAGTGAGGTTCTAGCATGCACTTGGTAAAGACCTTATACGGCACGGCATGTACTTAAACCAACATCAGTCTGCAAAATTTTTAAGTCCCAAAATGAAAATTAATAGTGCAGCGAATCTCCATATTTGTCAAGTGTATTATAAACTTGTCTGTCTTGTATTATTGACTGCTGTGAAAAAAATCGGCCTTATAAAGAAACTTCAAAATCAAATAATACTTTTATGACATTAGGTGCACGCGCCAAAAATCAGCTTTTCTACGCTACCGCACTAATCTCATTTTAACAAGGCGGAACCGTAGATAACGGCAGCGTTCGACACACTTCGTTCAATACAGGGAGATTTTGTTAAGGGGTGCCCAAGCGTATGTTTAAACATAACGGGGGACATATTGTAATTAAATTATTATTTTTTGTGTTATAGTTTGAGCATCGTGTGGTTTACTAAAGTGTGAAATTTAAAGGAGAAAGTTACAGCCACATTTTGCAACCTTAAGTTTTTTTGTTGGGTATGAGATGTTTCCTCTCGCATTCCTGAAACGGAACGGACGGAAGTGAATTACGAAAAGGGGGGAAAGTGCGGTCTGCTCTAATTGATTTGACCATAGAGAGCGCGTGGTTTTAGAGTTAGTCGTAAGATGATAGGTGAGATATCAGACTCCACACATCATATACCTACGACTACTGTAAAGCTCATTCGTTCGTATTTTGTTTATAAAGAGGACTCCCGCACTTGGACCATTTTTTACTCTTGTATGGGTGCTAAAAGACAAGAACCACAGAGATTTTGTGGATCTCAAAAATTTCTGTGCCGTGTAGGTCCCCAAACCCCTAAACCTTGGCGCGAGGTACCAAGGCAACCATTTTTACAATCTTTTCTATAGTTCGTGTCATGTAAAGCTTGCTGATACCCGTAATTTGATCACTTATTAGATACTAGCTTATGACCGCTGCTCCGCCCGCGCCTATATTGGTTATCGCGGTAAAAAGTAGCCTCTGTTACTTGCTGAAAATGTGGAAAGCTTTCCATTTGTTTTTTTTTTTTAAATCGGTTTAGTGGTTTAGGCGTGATAGTGTAACAAACAATTCACATTGAATATAAGTATCAATGTATTTGACTGCACGGATGGCGTAGTGGTTTAAGCGGTCGCCACGCCGCTTCCTACTACGCCGAGTGTCGTTGGTTCAAACCCCACATGGGACGACACTTTGTGTGGTCCACAGATTGTTGTTCTGAGTCTGGGTGTTCTTTGTGTCCGTTTCATGTATGTTTGTAAAGTCCCCCGCGACACAGGATTTATTCCTAATGTGGGAGTTGTCTTTAAAAAAAAAATGAACAAAGGTACGCTAGGAACGCTAATATTCTGGGTTTAATTTTCCTATAATATGTATGTATTTAGAAATATTTAATTATTTTTATTATCTGTCTGATCACTACACCGCAGGCTTTCCTAGTGTGGGATCAGACTGCCGTGTGTAAAATATGTGAAGTTATTATTATTATTCATAAGTAAAGAAAAGCAAGTATTCTACCAAACATATTTATTAATAAACTTCAATATATTCAAATAATTACATTGACTCTGGAATACTCTATGCAGTGACTGGCGACTCATCCTGGTTCGGTTGTTCTCTACGGCCAGAGTCTCTGGGTTCTCTGGCCGATCGCGAGTGTCAGGATCCCTCCTTTAGTTTTCCGTTTTCAGTCGCTTTTGTCGTGATACGCTCCATGACTTCGTGGTTGTATGTTGAGTGGAGCATTAGACCGAGGACTCCCGCCCTGTAAGGCAAAAACAATATTATAGTGGATAGCTGCTGCTGGTATAAATTATGTATGTACATAGAAACATCGTAATAGATTATGAAACTCATTTACAATAAATTAACCTTCCACTGTATAAGTATGGAAGACACTCGAGAAGACACACAAGAAGCAGAACGTCTCATATTTTTAAAATAATAATATTCATAAGTAGGCTGGTACTATGGGCTCTCTTCACCTCGAATAAATTTTATGTTATGTATTTTGTATTTTTGTTTTTATACATACATTCATATTATACATCATCATCATCATCAGCCTATCGCAGTCCACTGCTGGACATAGGCCTCTCCCATTGCACGCCACTTAGATCGATTTTGGGCTTCTCGCATCCAGCTCCTGCCAGCCATCTTGCGCAAATCGTCACTCCACCTGGCCTGTGGGCGTCCTACACTACGTTTACCGAGACGCGGTCTCCACTCAAGAACTCGTTATATTATACATAGAAACACTAAAATCAATGCAAATAGACAAACGCCTGCATGCACTTATATTTGCATTAACCGGGAATCGAACTCACTATGCTATGAACACACTCAATGTTTTTTAATTTTTGAATTACGTAATTAAGTATTACCATATATAGCAACATACCTCGAAGCCATCGCTAGTCTGATACTCCTCTCCTGTTCAACCAATTCATCCAGTTTCAACCATTGCCTCACTCTCTCCATATCAATCTCCGCTCTTCTTAACTTCTCCCATTGGTAGTGCTTTAAGCATGACTTCTTAGGCGCTCGGCAAAACTCGCCAGTTGGGTCGAACACGTTGCGCACTAGGGGGCAGCCGCACACGTCTTGGTCACTCACTTTAGGATCTTTAAAGTGTTCAGGGCACATCACCTGGGAAGAATAACCATAGTTAATTATAGGATGACATTGCATTTGCATTGCATTGCACACGCAAAATTACAAACCTTAAATCGTCAAAAGAGCAAAATGCAAAAGTGCGCTTAATCAAAAGCGCACTTTGGCAAACGGGCATAATGTCGAAGTATAATATCCCGTTCCCGAAATGCCCAAGATTTATCCAGCAACTGTCAGAGCCGAACTTGTGCTGTAGCAGTTGAACATATACCACTAGCTTATAAAAAATGAAAAGGTAGGTTAGGTTAGAATTGCGACCAGCAATAACAGCCAAGGCCGAACTGCCTAAATTGGACATTGTGCAAAAAAGAATCCTAATCCGGATCCCCGAACTGATTACTAGAAGTCGAGCCATATAACTTTAGTTTTATAAAAAAGCGGCATTAACTTCTATGGTACTGATTTTATTTTTATTTATTTATCCTTTTATGTACCCCACGGTCGGTGACGGATGAGGATTAGTCAGCAGCCAGGTGTAGGAACAAATAAACCTATAATCGCAAATATTAGTTAAAGCATAATTCGAGTCAAAAGTTAATACATACCCTCAATCTTTTACAGTAAGTGCCGTTGACAGGGTTATAGTAATCGCAAAACATGCTCTGCCCGTCGATGCGCGTGCGATGTCGGCTGCCGAAGGACGCTTGCGCTTCGTACTTCACGAAGCATTTCTCCATGTGCTTCACAGCCGTGCGGGAGTGGATCTCGTGACCGCAGGTGATGCAATACATTGAAGTTTCGTCGTCTGCGTCCTGCGGCAGATACATTTTATTACATAACGTTTTTTTTAGAAACAAAGTACCAGGTATTGTGCTATATGGCTGATTGTTGTTTTCTTTTTTGTCAACGATAAAACCTAAATTACTGTTACAAGTGGATATTACCCTCTTGGTGTAAATCTTTTAAAGAACTATCTTTGTAGAACTAATATTACTTTTAAAAATATATACTTTTACATTTTCAAACATGTTAAAAAAACACTGGATTTCGTCGTCATTAACAAAAATCAATCAACCCCATCAACTTGTCATCAGATCACTTGTTAATATTTCAGTAAAAATGATTAACGATTGTGCATTTGATTATACTAGTGGTTGTTACGTTTGGAGGCAGGCTCGGGGCACTGACCTTGTCGTCGGTGTGCAGTATGGTGGCGGAGTGCGCGCGCGCCCGCAGCGCGTCGAGGTCGCGGTGCTGCGCGTCGAGCGCGCGGAGCGCCGCCTGCGCGCGCGCCAGCCCGCCGCGCACCACCTCCAGCGCCTTGCGGTTCTGCTGCTCCGCCACGCACGACGACAGCGACCACTCCTGGATGCGCTGCGGCAGCACCTGCGCACCGCAACACCGCATTACATATACATTCCTATTATATCCATACTAATGTCATAAAGCTGAAGAGTTGGTAAAAACGCACAAATTTCAAGAACTACTGCCTCGAATTTCAAAATATTTTAGAGTTGGATAGCCCATTTATCAAGGAAGGCTAAAGGCATATAATCACTGGAGTCGTGCATTCATGAATGAAAATTGTTGCAAAAACGGCGAAAATTTATTCCTTTTTGAGAGACACAGACGAAGAGGGTCGGCTCATCTACATCATCATCAGCCTATATTAACAGTCCTATATTAACATCTTATATATAAAATTCTCGTGTCACAATGTTCGTTCCCGTACTCCTCCGAAACGGCTTGACCGATTCTCATGAAATTTTGTGTGCACATCGGGTAGGTCTGAGAATCGGCCAACATCTATTTTTCATACCCCTAAATGGTAAGGGTGACCCATCCCTAATTTTTTTTTGTTTTGCATTACAACGTTTGCCGAATCAGCTAGTATATGTATAAAATGTTAAGTTGGTTTGTAAATCCTTCACAAACTCAAAAAGTTCTGCACCGAATGGGCTCAAATTTTGATACTATATACCTACAACCCTCTTCAAATATTGTTTTATCTATTTTTCACGTCAGTTTTGTTCTTCATTTTGCATTAATACAACCACAATGTGCCACAGCGAAGCGTGGCAGGGTACAACTGGTGTAATGATAACACTGTAAAATAGCTGTATTTGTACAGTAAAGACTAAGGTCTAAGGAAAAACTAAACAAGATCAACTAATTACTAAAAGCTCTAAACTAAAACTCTAAGTTTCAAACTCTAAAACATGTTTCGTTTCTTTTTCATATATTTTTGTGTGTTCGAACTTTACACAAAATCCAAAAAAATTATTACTTCACCACGTCACATGCAAAAGTTGAGTTGTGCGATCGGTCTACACCATTGACCAACCCCCAACTTTGAGTTATTTCTTAACTAAAAACCATCTATATACGATCTTTTTTATAATTCAAAAGACTTACCTGGTAGATCCTTGCAGTGGCAAGCCTCATGCCACACTGCGCGGAACAGTACTTAGATGCAAACTGAGCAGCGCGCACGCACTGCGGCCCGTAGCACTGGCGAGGCCCGGCCGTTTGTAGATGCGCTAAAGACTCCTCCGGAGAGTGCTCCGACCGCTCATGGTGCTTCTTCTTCGCTCTGTTGCTACTACTACAGATAGGCACAGACCCTTTAACCCTTATACTCACAAAATATAATAATTATAGCAGTCATGGCTAAACTTCACTGACTTTTGTTAATCACATACGTATTAACAAAACAAATATGATACGATAATGATCCTAGATATAAAAAAGGTCATTAAAATATCTACCTAATTAATATACGAGTACACACAAAAACGGCCTCAAAATGAGAATTTATTCCTTTTTAAAGTAGGTTGGAATCGGGTTTCGTCTATTTGTCTTTTGTTCTGTATCTTAGTTTTACGCCTTATTTATTTGTGTTCAAATAAATAAGCCGTATTTTGTATTGGTGAGAATATAACGGAAAGCTATATAGGATTATCGATGACTTACCGATTATTCATTTCAAGTAACCCGATTAAAATAATTAGTTAAATTTAAAACCATACCTAGATTGTCGAGATGTCTTTTTACTCTTGATGCACATTTTCATTTTACACTTGAGTTTCGTCTTGTTAGCGCTTCCATACTTATACATGTTTTCACATGCGTCACAACTGAAAGAGTTACACATCGTTAATGTTTGAAACGATGATTCCGAACAAAAGTGTTTAACAATTCATTCCTCATAATATTCAATAACATTAAATCTAAATATTTATAATCGCAACAACTGATTAAGTTGTACTACTGATAGGTATTCAGACTGTAATTGTTAATACTGAGCATCACTTTCCTTCATAGACAAATAAGTTCCCTTCATAATCTAGAATGGCATTATGCTTTACATAATAATATATTAGAATACAAAGACGAAATAATTTGTCAGAATTGAATGGTCTAAAAACTGCTCTGTCCTGACAAAGTTTTCACTCCTGTCTATAAGACGTCAGTCTACAGTCAGTATAATATGGGTTGCTTTTACAAACTGGCGGCAATTTAAAAAGTGACTGTCGTGCATCGAAATGGAATTGACTAAAGATCATTTTCACTCAATGTATGAAATTCGTTTTATGAACCCTGAAGATGCCGCGACTGCGTATGAAAAAGGCGTGGAAGAGGGCTCCCTGCTTCAGTCAATGGTTCCATCGCACGCGAAGGTGCTTAGAAAGGAACGGAGACTACTTCGAAAAGCAATAAAAATATTAACAGGCTTCTATGTTATGCTATTTTTTACTTTCTAAAAACTTTCAGTGAGCCCCGTAGTGTGTAAGAATTTGCCCGAAATATACTATCTTTTTTATAATCTTTTTTTTGCTGATTACTTAAATTAGGCTAAAGTTGAAAGTAGAACAATTCCAGTTTGACTGATTTGCTTTAACTGATCTAGTGATGGTTGGTTTGCGATTCTGACTGCTAAGTCAGAAGTCGTGGTTTTAATAGTAATGTCCTGGGTAGTAAATAATTGAGTGATGAGCAGGATCATTTCTTCGGTATCTGGGTGTAACTTATAAATACTATGTATGTATTTAGGAATATTTAAGTGTGTTTATTAGCAGCGTGGTTACCACAGACTGCCTGGTGTAAGCCGTGTGAAATTATTATTAATATCGTTGCCGGAACTACTATCAGACGACGTTTGACGTGTGGTGGTTTATGATGTATCCTCATCATATTATGCAAAGAAGAAGAAAGAAGTATACCTATGTAAGTGTGTGGTAGAGCCATACTTCGCACATGTGACCTTTTTTTTTTTTTTTTAACGTGTGGAAATCCCCTCGGACCGTCACCCCTCCGGGGTTTGCGGCGGGGTGGTGTATCGGACTCGGACCGACTAAAACCACACGGTGTGCCACTCTGCGCCTGTAACAGGAGGGATCCGGGAACAGCTGTTGTTAAGACATCCGGACCCCTCCTAGCGCCAGCCCGCTCCTGGTGCGGGCTCCGTCTCAATATTTTTGTTTTCCTCTCTTTAGGCGACGTCCGGCACACGCGGACGCCGCCCCCTCGCGGCTGGCCAAACTAATGCGGGTGGAGGGGAAACCCACCCCGTCCACCCGCGGCCACACTCAGGGCGGCATGAGGCTGTGATAGGCGGGCCTCCGCCGCCCGGTTCGCCGGCGGCGGATCGGGTCCGAGTGGAGGTCGTCCTCCCGGGCCCTCTCCACCGCCTCCTTCCGCGAGATTACTACCTCGCAGAAGGTTGCGACCGCGGTAAAACAACTGTCGCTACCGGCCATGGAGCGTACTACGGCCGGTAGCGAGAGATCCACTCCGATGACTGCAGTGAGGGCCCGGCGCTGCGCCGCCCATGCGGGGCAGACCGCCAGCGTGTGCTGGGCCGAGTCCTCACTGCAGTCGCAGTGGTGGCAGGCGGGACTCAGTTCCCTCCTAGCGACCGAGTGCAGGTACTTTCCGAAGCAACCGTGCCCGGAAAGCACCTGCGTCAGCCGGAAGGAAAGGGTCCCGTGCTGCCGCCCTACCCACTCGGCGATGACCGGCTGGAGAGCCTCCACGGCGGCGAAGCCAGCGCGTGGAGTCTCCAGCCGGAACGACCAACGAGCCATCGTGGCTCGGCGAGCATCTTCGCGCCACTCGCGCACATCCTCGGGCGGAGGGCGAAATCCGCTCTCCGCCCGGGAGTCAGCCACTCGCCGATAAACTTCGGCGAGCACTTCCGCCTCCAAATCCCACGGGGGAGTTCCGGCCAACGCGCATGCCACCTCCGTCGAAACGGTGCGGTAACCGCGTATGGCTCTGACCGCCATTACCCTCTAAGGGCGCCAGAGGCGTACCCTATTCTGGGCGGTCAGAGCCGCCGCCCACACCGGTGCACCGTACAGTGCCATTGACCGGACAACCCCCGTGTACAGTCGTCTTGTCGCGACGCTGGGTCCACCCAAATTGGGCAAAAGTCGCCCTAGGGCAGACGCAGCGCCGACCAGCTTTGGAGCAAGCTGTCGGAAGTGCTCGTCGAAGAGCCACCTCCCGTCGAGGATCAGGCCCAGATATTTCATCTGGGCCCGAACCCGTACGAGGACCGAGTTGACCACGATTGAGGCGCCAGGGGGTGGACCACGACGGGGCCCATGAAATAACAGGGCCTCCGTCTTATCTAGGGCCACCCGTAAGCCCAGCGCCTCAATGCGCCCGACCACCAGGGAGACTCCTCCTGTGGCCAGGCGCGCCGCCTCTTGGAAGTTTGCCCCCCGGGCTGTCACCAGGGTATCGTCTGCGTAACAGATTACACCCAGCCCGGGGGGGAAATCGGCGCGAAGGGCCCAGTCGTACCCTATGTTCCACAAGAGGGGTCCAAGAACAGATCCCTGTGGAACACCGCACGACATGGGCCGACACCTCAGATTACCTTCTCGGTCCTCGTACACGACGGTACGCTCCTCTAAATAGTCTGCCACTAGCCGCCTCAGGTACTTTGGCACCCCATGATAGTGGAGTGCTTCCCTGATGCAGCTGAATGGCAGACTATTGAATGCGTTGGCGATGTCTAATGACACCGCCAACAGCACGCCGCCACAGCTCACGGCCTCTTCGGTCACGGCCCTCAGGCGCAACACGGCGTCGACTGTCGAACGCCCCGCCCGAAAACCAAATTGGGCGTCCGACAGATCGGGGCCCACCTCGCAGAGGTGCCGGACGATGCGGGCAGAAAGAACCCTCTCAAACAATTTGCCCGCCTCGTCCAGCAGCACGATGGGCCTATAGGCCGCGACCGAATCGGCAGGCCGTCCCGGCTTCCTTAATAGGACCAGCTTCCCGCTCTTCCAGCACTCAGGGAAGCGTCCCGACGCCAAGCTAGCGTCGACACCTCCCCGAGGCGGTCTGCCATGTGGTTGAGGGCCAGGGCCAGCACTCGGGCCGGTACCCCGTCTGGCCCAGGGGCGGTGTTCTTGGAACGGATCCGTAGAACAGCCACCCCTACCTCCGAATCCCGGACGGGCGGAACATTATCCGCACATGTGACCTGGCTTGACCAGAGCCCTACCATGGCCTCTGAGAATGGCCGGTGTTAATCAATTATTTTGTTCCATTTCACCTTAACTATAATATGTAGGTGCAGGACTACCAAGAGTATTTGAAATGAGGGTTTAGGGTGAAATCATATGAATTATAAATAATATCACCACACCTGTAATTGATTTATAAAACCACTGCTACTTAATTATTATTATTACGCTAGCACAAGACTCGCGAAAGGTCTAAATCTTTGATAAAAAGAGTTTTGATTGATTTTAATGTAAAGCCGCTGTGACTAAAACCAATCATTTCATCATATAATTATGATTCAAAGTAGCCATAATTTCCATGACTAACCCTTAGCCCATTCCTGCTCAAACCGGTCAATCTTACCAGACATCTGTTTCACTTTCAGGTAATGTAAATTTTTAATCAACAATAGTCTAATATAATAATGTTATACTCACTGTCCACAGTCATGGATCTGTAGACAACCAGAACAATCTCCGCAACCATCTTTGTCTTTAATGCTCGGTCTCTTTGACGATTTATTCTCTGAATGATCCTTTTCTTTACGTTTCTTTTTTCTATCATCTCGAGCTACAATAAAACATTTTAATCATGAATTACTTAAAGAAAGTTACCTGAAGTCCAGTCAAGACCCAATATGCTTTTTACATCAATAGCATTTTACCTCATAAGTCCTAATGTGCTATAATAAAAAGCACAAATAAGTCTACTCAGTTCAGTCCTGATATTTTGAGTTGTTGGCAAGAGTAACCACCTAAAATACTAACATTAGCACAAATTATTTCTCGCTATTACGATTGTGAGATGGCAGAATCTATAAGCATAAAAAGGAACATAAATTGTTGTATGTTTCGGTAATAAAAATATTGGTTTGTTCTTTTTAATGGTCAATACTAAAACATTATATTTAAAACATCAAGACTTACAAGTTTAACTGAAAATTCATTTATCTCATTAAAAAAAAAATTGGTACTCAAAACTCTATGTAAATGTGAAATGACTATCTAAGAAATAAGACAGCAATGAAAAGCCTCGGCTTTTCCAATTTACTAAGTTGTATTGATAAGTAGGGGTGATAAAAAGCTTCATTAAATATTTTGGTAACTTAATATAAAAGTTTTGGATACAATCACATACTAGTATAGATCATATTGTCTCTTCTAATAAGAAATAGAGGCATAATGACAGGTTTTTATTCAATTTAGTTCAAATGGCTGTATGATTTGGATTTGTGTTACATTAGATAATGCTTAACAGGATTGCCTTCAGGATGGTTGGCACTGCTTGGAGGAGGCCTTCGTTCAGCATTAAGTGGCTATAATGCTTATAAAGCAGAAATACTTTCTTATAAGAATAAAAAAAAAGTTCTATTTGTACCTGTATTTAGTCATGTTGTATTTGTATCTATATTTAAGTCTTAAATGTTTTATATGTTTAAATGTAATTACTGGTTAAAAGTTTAAGGAGGCAAAGAAGCTACAAATATTCCATTATGCTGCAGAAAATAGACAATAGCATCTTCAGTAAAAGGGCATACAGATGTTGTTGGAGAAAAAATTCTTTAGTATTGGGAGATCAACACTTACAATTCTATACTCTATGTCCTCTAAACTCCATTAAAGTAATAACAATGAGCAGAAATATGTTTATATGTATTTGCAAAATCAGTATTATATCAGTCAATCTAGTTTTCATAATACAAGCTCAGCTTAGTTTAAAACTAGATGGTGTTGTGTTAGATGTCCAAATATTATTAACTACCTAATGTAGTGATGTGATACACAATATTCAATATATTATAGTGGTTTGTGAAGATAGTGTTGGTGCATGACAAAAATAGTTACTATTATGTGCAAAAACATAAATAGTGCAGACCAAACTGTGTAATCCATATCTTAGGGTCATTATAAAGTACATTCATGAATCTAGAGACAATTATACAGCTACAGCATTAGGTTTAGCATGACAATGATGTTAATGACGGTTCCAAGAATAGGGAGACAGTTTAGGACAGTTCAAGAAAGTAAAATGATGTACTACATAAATTATGATGACCTCTAACACAAAAGAAAATGATTATTAAAGACTTACATGAGTTTGCATCACTTGCTGTTAAAAACAATTCATGTATTATTTATTTATAAGGTAATACTTTCTTATAGTAAGTATAAATACATTTGACATATGAATAATTACCTATGTCTCCATCATTTTCTCTCTTTTGGGGTCTAAATCTAGTTTTGAGAGTAGGGTCTTCTTCACGGCACCGGTCACAAAAATAGTTTTTGATATACTTTGCCTCCCGCTCAGATATATTGATACAGTCACCATGATACCATTCCTCGCAAGAGTCACATGCTCTAGAATAAAATGGGCAAGTTCATTTTACTTGTTTAATGTTTGTATTTCTATTAAACTAATCACTGCACCAGTTCACAGTTTAGTTAATGAATACAATAAGCGATATTATGGCTTGTAATTATTAAGTAATGTAGTGTACATCAGAATATAACTGTTTTCTGACCAAGACAACTAATTGTATTAACAGAAATATTAAAACTAATCTCACATCATAAAACGCGAGCTGTCTGAGGAGCGGCATATACAATATGCCTGACCAGCTTGATTAAGTAAAGTGGTTATCTTCGACTGGCGCTCAGGCAGATCAAATTGCTTAGCTATATCTGCTTTCTGTGAAAAATAGTAATATGAGACACGTAAATCCAACTAACAGTAATTAAACCTAAAACCTTTAATACATACACTTTGCTTATGTCTCTTATCACCCATATTGTCAAATAACTCCTTTAAACTAATCTCAAATGTTTTTCAAAATTATCAACCTCGATAAAAGATACAAGAAAAACAACTTATTTCGGTTGACACTGACATGATAATCTGATCCACAGAGTAGTATAATGTGGCAAGCAAATCTGATCTGAATTCTGGATGGTGACCACTTATTTTTCATTAATTCTACCAAAATCCTAGTCTATATACTACTAAGAAATGAAAATTAATCCAATGTAATTTTAAAAAGGAAACAAATTCGTAATCGAAAATTAAGTATTAAAAATCTGATTATGGGGCATCGGCTTCGGTATTTCCGGACCAATACGACATTCAATAAACCATGAAGAAAATAGCGTATTACTTCCTTATAGGCCCGACAATGCGCTTGTGACTCCTGAGTAGCAGATGCACATGAGCAGCAGCAGTCACTCACTATCAGATGACCCCGTTTGTTCGTTTACCCACTGTATCATAAAATAAATAAATATCTTCATACATCTCAAGATCTACAGTCATAATCTTCTCTTAGTAGCAAAACAGTACACGATAATAAGTGAAGTAATGCAAAGAAAAATGGCGTTTCGGGTCACCTGATGAAAAGTGACCATCACCGCCCATAAATGTATGCAACTCAGGGATCACAAACGCATTGCCGGCCTCTTAGGAAGGAGTACGCTCTTTTCTTGAAGGTTTGAAGGTCGTATCGGTCCGGTAATACCGCAGACGATAACTCGTTCCACAGATTGGTTGTGCAAGGCAAAAAGCGTTTCGAAAAGCGCACAGTTATGAATCGCCAACTATCCAGGTGAGGGGGGTGAAAATTTGATGTGATGTTTAACGAAGGCGGAAAGTTAAAGATGCGGCCGGCAGTAATCCGAACAATTCCTCGGAACACTATTCATGATATATGCAATAGAGAATGTTTGCTAGCAAGCCAAGCTTGTGCTTGCAGGAGAATCTTGAAAACAAAAATGATTCAGCAAGTATAGTAGGTGTGGCCAGATTCCATTCCATTAGACATGGGATAAAATTGCAATCAGCTGTGATTAATCAAATGATACTGAAATCGTTTCATTACACCTGTGACTAATTATTATTATTCCGCTAGCGCCGGACACAAGAAAGGTCAAAATCTAAAAAAAATAAGGTTAGTTTGATTCATAGATCAACACGTTCGGGAGTAGCCGCAGGCGTTCTCCTCTGCCAAAGTATAAGTCCACACGGTCACATGAGTAAAGTAAAACTAGTTACAGTGCTCAGTAGACGACAGCAGCCGTCCTAAAAAAATGACAAATCGTTCAGAATTTGCTTCAAAAAAGATCTGCCACGTCAAGTTTACAAAAAGATGGCGTTAACTAACGCCATCTTTTTGTAAACGTAATTATTAATTAAATTATTACTATTTACTCATTTTTAAACTTACTCACTCTCATACAATATTGTGTCGTGTTGCTAATCGCTATGTATGGCTTGTATTTAGTTTGAATTTTTTCATTTCGACATTTCTACTACGTTTAAATTATCCATAGGTGTCCATAGGTCAAAGAGGTTAATATTATTTTTATTATTTTAAAAGAATTCAAGTGCAGGGCTGTTATACTTACCAATTTCTTGGTATACGTACAAATTTTCGTGGTCTTGTACCATGTACCAACTAAATATTGTGTTGGTACACAATAATATTAACTTTCTACATTCATCAAATATTTAAATAAAACTTGTATCTAACAATATACATATAAGTTTTCGCTGTTCGTCAGATTTTTAATATTGATTAAAATTTTACTGTTCATAATGATATTAATTTTTGATCCATTGAGTAACTTTAAAAATTCCGTCAATGTAACTCACGGTTGATTTTTATTTTATGTTATTCAAATTTTCTATAGAGATTTATAAGAGCTAGTAATAAAAACGACAACGAATAATGAAAATAATAATTATTAGTTATAATATTAATTATCATCATCATCATCAACAGCCTTCCTAGTCCACGGCTGGACAAAGGCCTCTCCTTAGAAAGGAATAACTATTATTGTTAATTTTTTATGAGGTATATTTTTTTTCAAGTAATCAAGAATTTTTTCCGATAATTCAAGGTTTCATTTAAAAGAATATTTAAAATATATTTTTCTTTTAATAAATATAACTTTATTATGAGTGTACCAATTTTTTTATTTATTTATAAGCTTTTAAAGGCTTTTAGCGACATTAGTACAAGCTTTGGATCGCCACAATCTAACATCCCTGGTCAAGTGTCACCTGTAACCATAGCAACAAGAATGTTTATTATTTTAGGTTAAACAAGCGTAGACTTATTTTATAATTAAGAATAGAATATAGCGATGGAGGCTTTAGATACTCCTCAAATAATTACACATATTGAACATAACATAAATCATTCCATATTTGATTGCAAGTGGATACCATGTTCCGCCAAGTTTGTTGTAATCGGTACTTATCCAAAGGGAACTGGTACTATTAAGATTTTTGAAATCACGTCTGGAGAAATTCAGCGGGTTAAGGAAATTGAAAGACCCAATTCATTTAAATGCGGGACATTTGGAGCCAGTAGCGACGTTGAGAGAAGATTAGCGACCGGTGATTTCAAAGGGACATTGGAAATATGGTTAGTAATACTAAATCACTTGTTTTTGTGGTTAACAACTCTACATATTTCTTATAGTGGCAAACCAGTAGAAGGGTAACCTAATGGTATCACCCACCGGCACCTGCAATTTGGTTGTAGTGCTGTAGTTACACTCTAGACAAGTAAGCTCATAATATGTCCAGAAAATGGCTCTCCCGTTTTAAATTTTAGACCTGTATTGATCTGTATTACAAGGATTTACAAAATCTTTTTATCAAATAAGATAGCACAATTAGAAGTAACATGATAAATGATTATGTAAATTTGTTTCTTACACTTCCATGTTTCACCTATTAACTGATCATCATAAAATGTTGCTTACTTGCTTGCTTAATGATCAAGGGTTAAGAAAAAGACATAGGGAACCTTTAATTTAGAACTATAAACTGTTTCAATGCAAGTAAATAAAAGGTTCAGGCCAAAATAAAAAACTTAGTTAAATTTACATATAAAGTTCAATAATTTGTGAGCACAGATTGTATTAAAAGGAGCAAGTGTTCCTTGCCCCATAGCTCTTCCAAGTGATCCGTGAGTGAATTGTCTATGCAATTTTGGACTTTGTTGTAATTGCTGGTAAAATATAAAACTCCTTAATACATTGTAATAGAGAGTGAAGAGCTAAAAACGTTCAACAAAAGTAATTTGTTTAATTATTTAGTTTATTTTAATATTAATCTATACAAATATTGTGAAGAGGTAAAGTTTTTGAGGCTGAAAATTTTTTTTTTTCTATAATGAACTGATACCTCAGATAGCCCCATAGCCAACTCAGATAGCCCCATGGCCAAATTACTGCATGCTTATCGAATTGTTAAGTTTTTAAAAAGTTTTACAATGATACTTCCTACTAAAATATTAATCATTCTTGTAATAAGTTGGTACATGTAATATACTTAATATAGTATTTTGAAAGTTTCAAATAGGAACTTGTTGTTATTAATGGGGTTGATTTTTAGGCCTCATTGATCCCCAATATCAGGAATACCGCTTTCGATTTCAATTGCTGACATAGGCTTTAACACATCACGCTACGACCAAAATAACCCAGTATCAAAGAAAAATGTTGTGAAAACAGGAAAAAAATATTATAATAAACGATGTATGAAAGTAAACAAATTTAGCAAATAAATACTTCAAGAACTGAAACACTCTGATATAACTCATATAAATAGACACAACAAAATTTAAAAAATGAATTGTTAACACATCTTTTTTGACCACTTTAATTTTAGGATGTAGGAATACTATTTAAATTCATTACAGTGTGTTTAAAATATCAAAAGAAAGCCTGTAGACTAAATTAATTATATAGGAAAGTTCCTATATATTTGCAGGGATTTGGAGAAGAGCTGCCAAGTTTATATTACGAAAGAGCATACAGACATAATAAATTCAATAGATGGGATGGGAGGAAATTCAGTCAACTGTGGTGCACCTGAAATTGTTACTGGAAGTAAGGATGGTATGTAGTCTCTATGATATAATTAGTTATTTAAACAGCATGCAATACTATGTGCATAATTTGCCAACCCACTTGACACAAACCTAACATGAAAAATAGTCTGAATAAGGGCACGAAAATAAATCAAGCGAGCCTTAGGTACAGTTTTTGTATGAGTGTAACGTGACATCTGATATCAAATAGGTAGGTGATTTTCTTGTTTTTAGGCTTCCTCTTACATACTTCCGTCTGTCTCTTTTCACGATAACATTCCAGAAGATTGAAGGAAAGCGAGAGTTAAGATGCTATACATAAAAAACTGAGATTTGTTATTTTACTAAAACGAGTACATCCCTTTCACTGTTTTTAGGGTTCCGTACCTCAAAAGAAAAAGGGTCCCTTATAGGATCACTTTGTTGTCCGTCTGTCTGTCAAGATCCTTTGTCTCGGGAACGCGTGTAGGTATCGAGTAGAAATTAAAACCACATACTCAGGTTTACACTCCCTAGGAGCTTTTAAAAATGAAACTTCTAAGTTAAAGTAAAAAAAAAAACTGCCGTTAACGCCGCAAAAAACGCATATGTCGACCCTCTTAAGGGAATCAAAATTTATAGGCTACTTCCCTTTACCCTAACTATGAAATTTGGCAAGTAATATCATCTTATCTATAATTTGAAAACTATAGATTTCTAATTCAATCATAAAAATATACTTAGTCTTTATTTAAAGTATGTAATCAATAATCGAGGTACAATTTCACTTGAAAAACAATTTTTGGAAAAGAAAACTGGTTTCTTGGCAGTGAAATTGCCACAATTTGTTTAATTCCTGTACAGAAGAGCAACTCATGCACTACAGTAAAGTAATAATTAGCTAATAATAGTGATTTTAAGTATTCTGTAGTATTCTTACAACTACACAGAGTCGTTAGCTAGTAGGCTTGTTCTTAGAGTCTACATCTAATCTAATTTTCAGGCACAGTTAAAATATGGGATCCACGCCAAAGAGGAAAGCCAGTGGCCAACATGCAGCCTGTGAAAGGAGAGACTAGACGTGATTGCTGGACTGTAGCGTTCGGCAACTCGTTCAATGATGCCGAGAGAATTGTCACCGCTGGTTACGACAACGGAGACTTAAAAATGTTCGACTTGCGTACCATGTCGCTTAGATGGGAGTGCAATTTGAAAAATGGGGTACCTACCTAATTTTAATTTAAAAACACATACCTACATTCGAAATCTAGAAATTCGGAAACCTACATTTTAGTAAAATGTTAAAATTGAGCAGGTCATGGTAACATAGCTGTAACCTTAATTGGTTATTACAGGAAGGTCCGACCTCCGCAAACATAAAATGATATATTTTTTATTCATATATTTGTAAAAACTTTTATTTTATACAGGTATGCAGCGTCGAGTTTGACCGCAAAGACATTCCAATGAACAAGTTAGTAGCAACAACTTTGGAGGGGAAGTTCCACGTGTTCGACGTCAGAACACAAAATCCAAGCAAAGGATTTGCACAGGCAAGCAAATATTATTGACCGAGTATTTTGTTTAACAAATAACACGTTAATTAAGTATTGTTTATTGCAGGTGCTTGATAATACAACCAAAAGTGGCACAATATGGGTAGCGCGCCATCTACCGCAAAATCGGGATTTGTTTATAACATGCGCTGGCACTGGTCAAGTTTCTCTTTGGAAGTAGTAAGTCCATACTGATACAGACGTATATTAAGTAATAATTCATGGTTATAGGTATATAATTGTGGGAGACTTCGACCAATTTAATTGTGGGAGAGCCGTGCTTCAGTACATAAAGGGGCAGGCTCGACCGGTGTGATACCGAGGGGCGGGGCCTCACCGAAAACCGGTTTTAAGCAAATTTATTGTTTTCACTTTGCGAGTGTCGTTACTAAAGCGGAGTAAAGGAAGTACGGGAGTACCGGAATAAGGTTTAGTTTTGGTTCGTACAGTGCTTTAATGGAATACAATACAAGTGACGCAAGCTTTTTAAGTAATTGTTACTGCAACATATGATCTATAGACTATCAGCAAATATTTCTTAAAGCTAATTATTGATTTTCCAGCGAGTACCCCGAACACCGATATCACGTAGACCACCAGGGCGTGGCTTGCGGCGTTCCAGGTAAGCTCAAACGACTCCAGCGTATGGTTCTTAGTACTCAACCTATAAATGCTCTCGAATGGAACAAGGACCATCTAGGACTGGCTGTGGCCACCGCATACGATCAATACGTAAGGATCCTAATTGCTACTAAACTTAATGTGCAATGTTAGTGTTACAAGACAAATATTATTAAGTGATTTGCTTGAACTTGCTAGTCTTAGTTTATTGTGCGAGTGAGTGCCTTTAGCATTATTTATTAATATTTATAATAAAATATGTTTAAAGTATATCTGTTTATTTTTTTCGCAAATGTATTCATGTGATTGTATAGTCGTTATCGTTTATAAATTTTTTCATTCCCCTGTACGTAAACACTGTATGACCAGTCACTTATCTCCTGGTAGGATTCAACCGAATTCTGAACAACATCTGATTTCCTAAAAAATATTTTATCTTCTAAATCGGTGTGTTACTTTATTCAATATTAATTAATCTTACGTAAACAAATAAGCGCGAAAACTTAATATAAATTAGGTATTTATTTTGATCCCACAGAATTCGGGCCGCAGTGACGACTAAAGATTGTACCGTAAGCCTTATTTTTATATTATATCAACGCTTCAAATAGGACCGAGTCCTCTTTTGAATATGCCGCCGGCTGATCTGGCTTGCTAAGATCTATTGTTTTCTTGGCTTGAGTGCAAATACTGAAAAGTGGATGAACTTTTTACTGAGTATTTTTTCTTCTACTGAATTACGTATTCAAATTAAAGAAATAAAACAACCAGTCAATTTTCTAACTAAAGGAGCGCTTTATTGTTAGCCCTAGTACTTAGGTACACATTATAAATAAAATTAAGGCTAGCATTCAGTTCTTATAACCACTAATAAATTTCAAGTTCGATCGTGCACGTCACACTAAAGTCGTGTCAGTATTATCACTCACTTGTTTCGTATGAGAAGTCCAAGTTTTAAATAGGTTTGGTCGGAGAAAAAACAAAAAGCTACTGATATACCTAGGCCATTGGTAAAATTGATTTAAAGTACTTATTTCATATAAGTTAATAATCGATAAGAATATTAATTTATTGCAACAGAACAAAAAGTAAAAAAGTCAAATTAATACATGGAACTCTCGTAATTGCGATGAGAAAAATTCTCATCCATCAGTATTCACGACTTTACAACTTCGCCACGAATAGTCTACGCGTGACTGACTACATCACATGACATCTTCAATGTTACTAAAATAATTCTAATTAAACACTTATTAAGGAAACGCAACATTATAACACAGACATTACCGCTACATAGCTGTATGGTCCAATATTCCGTAGCTTCATGGTATTAACTTATGCAACCACAGTAAAAATTAAATTAAAATCATATCATTATGATGGCTGCTATCATTCTTATAATGATTTGAACGACTATAATACATCGACTCTTTAATAAGCATTATTTTTTTCACCGAAACCTTAAATTTACTACACTTAAACAATGTATTAACCTTTTTTTTTGTAACAAAACACAATTTTAGATGAATAACACAACGTCCATTCGCAAAAGAAGTGACGTTCGAAATATATGTTCCCTTCATCATCAGCAGCCTATCACAGTCTACTGCTGGACATAGGCCTCTCCCATTGCACGCCACTTAGATCGATTTTGGGCTTCTCGCATCCAGCTGCAAATGTTCCCTTATGCAATAATATTATTAAACAGTGGAGATCTAAGGAGCCGAAAGTCGAATTAACCGGCAGTTTATTGTTTGTAAGTTACCGCCAAACTGGCAATAATGTTACGTGTTATCCCTAACTAGTGAATCCGAATCCGATGATTGTACAAAAACTAAATTTTCATACTCCATAAGCTAACGACCACTACTTCTACAAAACTTACATCACTTTTTTACATTCTCAATTATGATGGACATACTAAAACGTTGATCTTATTTCGATATGAAATAAGATGGGGTGCTACGAAACTCGAGGGTGCGATCGAGCTGACAATATATTTGACAATAACGACGTAGTAGGCTACAAAAGTGTAGCGTTACAACAAACTAATTGCTGATCGCTTTTTTTATTAATATTTTCCTTATTCAAACAACTGTATCTCCTAAAAACTTACCGCATTTAACTCCTTACGTCATCAACTGTTAACTTATACATTTAATTATAACAGCCAGTTAATGCAGAATTGTCACTCAAACACAAATTGTACCTAAATATAACAATCCACTTATATAATAGCCGATGTAACTGAACATCATGTTAAAAAACTGCTTATATTCTATTTATGAATATATATATTACATTTCTTTATCCAAGATGATAACCTGTCAAATGTGGAATGAGACCACATTGAAATAAAACATTGAATCTTATTAAAAATGTATCAACTTATAGTGCAGTGATGACAACTAATTGCTATTGTGTACATGGGTATTAAGGAACTAGAGGAAAACCAAATATGGTAAGGTGATAGAAGTTATACTTAACATACCAACTAGAACCAGCCATAATCATTTAGGCCATATAAAAACATGTTTAACGAGCCCAGATCATGCTATATTTTGGCCCTAAATAGTATAGTATGAACCACTTCAGTTACCATCAATTGCCCAAAAATCTTTAGTTTTTCCTTGGTAGTACTATAAAAATCGTCAATTGCAATTGATAGTTATACTGCATTTTTTAACTGCTAAGCTGAACCATCTAAGTGCTAAACCATAGGGCCTGTCTGCTAGTAAGTGGCCATCATTCGCCATTCTATTTCTACCGCTAAAAAGCTGGCTCAAGTTAAACTATGAAACATCACGCGCTATTTTAAATCAACATAAATTACTTAACTATTGTGTATAGAAATGAACGTCCATTAAATATTTACATTATTTTATTCTTATAATAATAGGTCTGCGAATAGACTACCAACGTTTTATTTCTTCTGTCATTGTATACCGAATTGTGTATACCAGAGGTGTAGTAGTCTTACAGTTGTTTTATAGTATTACATAGTAAACAAAAAGCACAGGTGGATTTAATATAACAGTCGACTTTCAACGCAATTCTTTCCTACTCGTTTGGTCTTAGTGGAATTAATATTGCTCGTGTAACATAATTCAAGAAATCGTCTAAAGCCAACCACTAAGCATGTGCAATAAAAAAATTATAATCTAGATAAGTTTCAAACGAAACCTCTACTCAATAATTCAGTTAATTCATAATTCAGTTCATTCATAATTACAGCAATCATTAATTAAATCTATCAATAAAATTAGCACAGCAATGTACAAAGCTTTAAATATTTTTTGTTATTTCTTGAATTTTCTTCGTCATATCTTACATGTTGTTTTTGAAAAAATATGTATATTTGTCGCAATTTCATATTCCCTACGTTAAACATACAGACACCGTAAACACGCCACTACGATTTGCATACTCACACATACTACATAGTTTATTTTGTGAATTGGTTATAATAAACAATGTATTTATTATTGCATATCATTAAATATAACAATTGTTTAATAGTTCCTAGTTATTTAGGAAAAAAATAACGTGAATTAAAGATTCTTCTCAAACATTTTGTATATGTTACATACCTACTAGTGTACTCTCAATTGAAGAATTGTGATAGCATGAGCCTTTTCTAAGAAATTATTTCCGTGTAGTTGTAATCAATATGTAATCATGCATCACAAAAAGAGAAGGGTGAAGCCACAATGGAGTGAGATTCGTTCATACTGTGTGGAGTATAACCGGTGTCAGTAAGTTCTCCAAGTCATGTGAGGATCCTCAACAGTTTGAGGATCGCCATAACTAGGAAAAGGGCGCGAGCACGTGTAGATAGCGGTGTTCTGTTGCAGCTCGGTTATCGTCTGTTTCGTCATCAGTTTTAATGCACTTTGAACGCACATGTCATGTAATTTCGCCTACGACCTGTAAGAAACAAGTTTTTTTATTACAATGAAGCCTGGAAACTATAAACAGTTCTTTATTCACATTAGGTACTTAAGATGCTTTTTATCTTCTTTTTAAATTTACTTAATGACCATAATATTGACCGCGAATCGGTGCCGGGATGTCGATTAAATAAAAAGGTAGAGAAAAAATAGTTTTTTAAATATCAAAGGGTGAAGTAAATCTATTCAGATATATTATAGAGAAGTTACGGAAGAAGGTAATAATAACATCTGTTGTCTAGATTTAGATCTACGGTCAAATTTAGGCGAAATATGGGACGTCAATGAAAATAATCGAGGTATAACATTTTTAAAGGACAATTCCTTTTAATTTCCTTTTGAATTAAATAATAATAAATGGTATACGTATACTAGCAAGATATTAAATATATTAAAATATATATTTCGGTTTCTCTCTATTATGGTAAACATCCTATATTTGCGATTTTGAATGTAAATTACCTGTGCGTATAGTCGAGATTCAGTCAAGGTTGTCCTGGAAGATGAGCCGCACGTAGCCGGGCGTGCCCTGCAGCGGCGCGGCGCAGAACGGACAGATCGCGTGGAAACCGTTCGTGCCGTGCGGGATGTCCACTGTCGCCCAGTATCTAAACAGTAAATAAATACATTCGTTTGAGATTAAATTAAGTGAAGTGAGTAAAGGAACTGTAACATCAAAATTTAATATATTTTAGTAAAGAATGAGTCCGCTCAAATAGGCAAAAAAAAACAAACTCAATTTGGATAGATCTTAACTTGTTAAATTAGATTGAAGTCTGTTTCTAGAACACGCAATGATATCTTTCTCATGCTTGTGATCAACATTCTATACGGCGCTATACAACAAAGGCGCCATGAATTACATTTATTTTATATCTCTTCGACCTACATCCAGGGCCACCGGGTATGGGTGTACAGAGCGTGCATTGCACACGGGCGGTACTTTCAAAGAGGTGGCAAAAACAGATATCGAAACGAAAACGAAACTTTCTCATAATTGGTATGTCTAACATATTTTTATTATGTCATAATAATAACATCTATTGATCAGTATATGCAGAGATACAAACTTTTATAAGCTTAGAATTAGTTTATTAAACGTAAGTATGTATAATTTGAAACACTCAAGACGCGGGTGTGGGGTACCCGAATATCTCATACCGGGCGATAGTTTTATTGCGGAGGTAAAACCCGTTATGGAGGATTAGCTTGAGAGGGATACACGGAATCCTCTGAAACCGGCTGACGCAAAAGATGCTTTGGAGATCACTTGTATCTAATCCGCAAAGAGCCAACGCCTGGGTGCCACCACTGCATGGCCAGAGCGTGAACGACGCGTCACACGCTGGCATAATGCCCGGTGTGTATGGAGCAGAGGCGTGACTGATTGCTGCCATCAGTAGGCCTGTAGGCTACATCTTTCGTAGATTACGAACGATATAAATCTTATTAAATAGAATTTTCTTATACCTATATATTAACACTTCAAGGATGTTCAAACTATATGACGTTAAAATAAAGTGCACAATCACACTCGAAGACGATTCATAATGATTGTTCAAGTAAATTTTTATCGTTGCAAGGGACACGTATAAAAGACATCGGATTAAAATATTTTATGTCACTAAATGCATTGACGCATCGATCAAGCCCTGTCCCACTCCGATCAGGTTTCATGAAATTATCGTTTCGTATTTTCTTAACACGACCGGACTATAGATTGTATTATACATACTTGACAGTCCTTTCCGAAGCCATGTGTCCGCAAGGGTTAAAGGCGTAGGTTGGCGGGCCGGAGTCCACGTAGAAGGCCGGCTCGATGCCCATGCACACGCGCACCACCACGCCGGCCGTCATGCACATGGGGCAGCGCCGCACGCCCGTCTCGCTGCCCTCCGCACCCCACGAGTGCTCACCTGGGTATTACGAAACACCACATTCGTAAAAGGTAAATTGGCATTGACAATACAACCAATCAATCCTAACGATAAACATTTTTAATTTTCATTGTGAGATCATTTGGCGCTAATAGCTATTTCATATAATATACCTGTCATTAGATAAAATATTGTGAATAATATATTACTACAAAGTATTTTTAGATTCCCAAGACCGATACCCAAAATGCCCCATACCATTACTACAGCATACTACAGCAATAAAAACTATAGAAATCCATGCGCTGGTAACATTACTTACAACGTCAGGCATCCTTAGATCCCGACCTCATAACCTGACCTCATCAAAACTTTCTCATTACACTAACAAAATATAGCTTATTAAATTAATGTAGTTAAAATACTCAACAATCAAATTGAAAGTAATGAAAAATTATTATGCAAAGAGTGGTAAATTAAACAGTAATTTACATGATAGCTCATTTTAAATAAGACAGAAATATTTAGGATGTTTTTTACTTGTTCAGAATTTGCAAGACCGAAACTGCGAGTCTTCATGAAGTTTTAATATCAAGCGTTTTAATTATAGCAAATATTGTATCCAAGCGACTATTACCTTGTACATGTCCACAGTTAAGGTACACGTAGGGCTGATTGAGATCCTGGTGTGCGGTGGACAGCTTGCGCGGTATCACGAGTGTGTTCAGTCCTACTGGACACTGTGGTCTGCCAGCATTTAGCTCGTCAACTAACGCTTCTAGATCACGTTTTGTCTAAAAATAAAATAATATTTGTTGAGTCAATGAATAAAATACAATATATTTCGATTATGTACATTCTTATGCTGTCTTTGTGTTTTATGCGCTGCGAAGATTAAAAGTTGTTGTAATCCTTTTTTAAATCGTAGTAGTTTATCTTGAGGTAGTTCCTGTGTTTTACAATATCTGTTAGATAATGATGGTGTAGACTTACCGGTGAATTTTTTAATCCTTCAGCGCTCCTCCATAGCAAAGTAGCTCCACATAAGTCTATCATTGTTCCATCTCTTAAAACATTTGTCTCTGCTTGGCAAGGTAAGCCCTAAAAATTGATCAATAAAACATTAGTTTCTAAGAATCCTATGAAATTGAATTGAGTTTGATGAAACATTGAAAAGTTGATTAATATTTCCGACGGCTTTTTATATTTGAAATTCAGAACATATATGATGTCTGAATAATGTTCGTATGAATTTCCTCTGTGTGTTGTCGTTTAATACAGTCTTTATCACAAATCTCCGGTAAGCGTATTACTCGTACTTGAAGGTTTCCCATTTTCTCTTAAGAATGACAACTGATTTGGGAAAACTAAAATAAACCTACAAAATTTTAAGAAAAAATCATCACTTTGTCATAAAATTCTAGTAATTTATTGCACACAAAACTCTAAACCTACAAAAATAAAAATAAAATATTTATCACTCTGTTATAAAATTATACTAATTTACTGTACACAAAATATTAATTCTAACAGATGCTAAATGTCCATGCTAAAATGTCGTTTGGAAGATCAGTTAATTTTTTTAATGGTATAGTGGACAAACAAGCCGCGGCCGGGTCATTTGGTCAGTAAAATGCTTTCCATATTAATCATTTAATTTTACTATTCATTTACAAATAATTGTGGACAGTTGGACGCTATTCAAAAGTCTCGGTGAAAGGCTTATGGTTGATATTGGAAATCAAGTTTCACTTAATTAGACAAATAGTACTATACGGGGTTTTTTTTAGTGTATAAGTTGATGTTCCGCATGGGTAATCTTTGTTATGAATAGGGTGTTATAATAACGCTTGATATCTGCATAGGGGTAGCAGGAACGAGTTATGATATGTAATGAATCTAGTCGACATAAGGGCCAATAAAAAATAGTAAATGGTACTCTAGGGCTAAAACGGCACCTTCTTAATTGAATTTGAACTGTTTCATTGTTTCACACACCTTTTGCTGGGCAGAGCGGCTCTCTCTAAGCGAGAACACGGCGCCACCTACAGACGTTTCGCGCCAAGGGCCGCATGTGGCGCTACCGCCGCAGAAATCACCACGTGGGTGCATGATCAGTACTCCATTCGTTGTGAGACCATCTATTTCGTGGTTCTCTGTCCATTTTGTTGCTTTTTCCTGAAACATAATCCATAATCCAAATTGAAATATCAGGAAAACTACTACTTAACATTTGGTCTTTCTTGCCTACTCATTATTTCAAAAAACTGCGTTATATCAATGCCGATAATTATCTTATTCAAAGCTTAAAGGTCGAGAGTATAACGCATGTATAAATGTAATAGTAAAAGCCTCAAATTTGTCAGTTTCAAAAGAAGGCTGTATCTAAGTGGTAACTCATTGTGAACAAATTGCGAGTAAATCGTTCCCATTAGAAGTACATTTACGCGAGGGCCTCACCATCTGAGCCTCTGCTACGCCTACTGATTACGTTCAGAAACATTAAATTTGAAAAGAATTGTGATGCTTAAATCACATACAAAATCTTTCAATTATCGCTACTAAATCGAGTCACCGTATTTTGGCACTCTAATAGGCCTTTCGAACATGAGAAGGCCTTGAGCACTGTCAACCGACCGTTTTCTTAACATTTAAACTTAGAGGATACTGCATTTTAAAGTACCTATCCGGTATATAGATTACTTACCCCTAAAAATATATTTCTCGAAGAGTCAAAGCCAGCAGCGAATATACGACAGTTATTGACATCGTTCCGATCTGCTATTATGCGGCATGCAAACCGCGATATTGTACTTTGCAGCACCTTTGTGTCACCGCTCTTGTCGCCTGCTACTGTGTCCATTACCACGAAGTCAATTGGCGATTCTGATGATCTGCCGATCTGTAAACAAAAAGACAGGTGTGCTAAACTAATAGTAAAAAATAATTTGTCAATACACTATTATGTAGGTCTGTTTGTAATGTACAACTAATTCGTAATGGTTTTTTGTATAAGTTTGAGTACGTCGTAGGATTATAACGGTCATTTGATGAAGAATTTCAGTACACTATCGATGATCATTCAATTTGTTATGGTATTACTTTAATTTCATTTTCGAAAGGCATCAAGGTAGACATTCTAATTTTGCCATTCTTAATTCACTTATAAAAACAAACACCTAAATGATAAAGTGTAGTTAGTTTTAAGGAGACCTATACTTGCTTAGAAAACCACGGGCAACAGCTTTTCAGCGTTGCGCTCCATTCGTCATGTGGAGTCGACCACCATTGAGGAGACAAGCAGACAAACAGTATTCGTAGTGTCTTAAAAAAGTGTATTTTGGAATTGGCGATGTCATAAGTAGTTTATGTTCGAACGGTGTGTTAAAACAATGGCAATATTTGAATACTGAAATACAATTATTTAATACGATAGGAAGGAATAAAAGAGTCATTTAGATATATTATGATAAAAACAACCCGAATAGTTATTATTGTTTAACCATATCTCTCGCCTGTTTAACTATGTGATTGGGAACCTGAGGTTTTTAACAATACGTAAATAGGAAACTCATAACAAATTGGAATAAAACATAATTTTTATAGTTAAAAATAAATGTAATAAGAAAGTGACGCGTCGGAGGAATCTTGTTACTTTGAATGAATAGATGGATATTTTCGAAGTTTTTTCGAAGCGCACGCACTCATACACGCTTTCGCGCTTGCACGGGCGCACGCACAAGCAAAATAAATTGTTAAATTATCTAGGTATATGTCTATGTTTATCTATCTAATTTCAAAACAGCTCCTTATTAAGGTGATATTTTTATCTAAATTTTCGGATATTATAGCTAAATTAATATTTTTATATAAAAAAAATATAATATTGAATATAGATAACCATGATTCTATTTAGATTTGTTTCAATTAGTTTCTCAGTAATAGTCTGGGACTGTGAAGGCTGGTTTACGTCAGCCGTTCCGAAGAGTGAATGCAGCGCTCTGATTGCCAATGACGAGAAGCATTCGAACTTATCTTCCTATCGTCCAGCGCTTTATGATGCACCGAGGCTAAAGGAAGTGGCGATATTGAGATAAATTCCGGAAATATTAATTACACCAAATTCACTATACAGTAAGCTATATATATATATATATTTACACATATATATATATATGTAAATAAATGTTTATGACTACCACACAGATTAATGATTTTGTACTAATATTAAGAAAAAGGTTCGATTTCTGATTAAGTAGTGCATCTCGGAACTGAAAATGTGGTTTGTTGTTTGGCAATTTATTTCTCCGATTTCGGGATTAATTCACAGGAACTTATGTTTACTTAAAGGAAAACTTTCTGGTAAAATAATCAAGTCAAGAGTAAATTATATTAAAATAACAGTAATTAGTTGTCCCATTTGCTGTTGGCAAACTCGTGGTCTGTGCGAGCGCCAAATGGAACATACGTATTATTTTTATAACTGCCTATAGTACGAGTACATAGGTACCTAAAAGATACTTAACAAAACTTTTATCTATCTTTCTTTATTAGTCTCAACAAAAAAAGTAAGACCAATGGGGTGTACATATAGGAATGCAGATTAGCGTGATCGACGCCGCATTGCCGATGTTGGGTAACCGAGGGCGACTCGGTGAGCCGCGAGCATTTGCGTCACGAATCCGATGGCCACTGTCGCCACATACAGCCTTGGCCAAAAGTATTAGGCACCCCAGAAAAAATGCACAATTCATGTTTACTGATTGAACAATGAATAAATGCTTATTTTAGATGGCATGCCGGAGTCACAAATAACTTCCAAGAAAAGCAAGCAGCTATCTGTTATAGTAATAAAACACCTGGTGACTGAAAACAAAGGATTTGTTTTTATGCGTCCTTATCAGTCAATGTTTGGTCACTCGTGTTCAGGACTCTAACGAGTAAACAAGCTTTTATTTGTAACATAGTGATTAAATTGACGCGTAATTTATTTAAAAATGCCGAAAAGAAGTGAAATTAGTTTGGAAACCCGAGTAATAATACAACTTTTCCATGAATAAGGGAGTCGCAAAAAGAAATTGCTAAGTTATTGAAATGTTCGCGTTGCGCTGTGCAATCTGCTATCAAACGGTTTGCTGAGACTGGCAGTCACGCTAATAAACCAAGAACAGGCAGAAAAAGTGTGACTTCGAAGCGCGAAGACAGAAAATTAATACGCGAACTATGAAAGATTGGATGAAAACATCATCAGAGCTTGCTGCTACTTTGTCCGAAGAGGCTGGAAAGCCAATAAGTGCTCGGACCACCAGAAGAAGACTTGGAAAAGCAGGCGTAAAAGGATGCAAAGCCAGGAAGAAGCCCTGGCTTTCAGAAGCTAACAAAAAAAATGACTTGAATGTGCTCTACGGCATCAACATTTTACTGAGGAAGATTGGGCCAATGTGGTATGGTCTGACGAATCTAACTTTGAGGTAAGAAAATTTTACTGCTTTTGTTATTAATAATCATGGTCAGTTATTTATTTAACTAAAATAGTCAAGGTTAAGGCAGTTTAAAAAAAAAATGTTTTTTTTTTCTTTTTTCAACAGATATTTGGAACGCCAGTTGTGACCTTCGTGAGGCGACGTGTGGGCGAAGAATAACATCCAGATTGCGTCGTACCGACAGTAAAGCATGGAGGAGGCAGCATAATGATCTGGGGCTGCATGGCTACTGATGAGGTTGGCTAAATGTTTGTTTGCGAAGGTCGTATGAACAGCGAGAAGTACATAAAAGTGTTTAAAACTGCGCTTATGCCTTCGCTAACGAGTATTTTCGGCGATACCAACTTAGAGGGAGTTATATTCCAGCAAGACAATGCACCTTGTCATAAGTCAGCGATGCGATGCGTTGGTTTACTGAAAACAACATTGACTTGTTTGATTGGCTAGCGCAGTCACCAGATTTGAACCCAATTGAACATCTTTGGAGCATTTTGAAGCGCAAGATTAAAGAGCATGGTATTACATCGAAAACGGCATTAAAAAATGCGTTAGTACAAGAATGGCATGCCATTACAAGGGAGGATTGTACTAAGCTTGTACGCAGCATGCCAGCTAGAATTAGTGCAGTAATTAAATCCAAAGGTGGATCGACTAGATTTTAAGTTTTTTTCATTCTTTTTTGTGTAATTTAATGGTAATAAATCAATTCAAAAAGTATAAGTTGTTTTTATCCTTTATTTTAAGTAAAATGTAGGGTGCTTAATACTTTTGGCCAAGGCTGTGCACATTACAGACTTGGATTATGCATTTGAGAAGTTTATGACAATCGATAGGATGACCCTTCCTGGAGGCCTTAAAAATTGTGTGAATCTTTGTCTTCACATTGTAGTGTAAGAAAAAGTTTTATTTTGCAAAGAGAGTATGAGCGACTCGTTTCTTCGAGACATTTCGGAGAGATGTTGCTACTTCCAGCTGGATCATTTATTTATTTATTTATATAACTTAATGCGCAAGTTGTACACAGGCGGACTTAATGCCCAGGGCATTCTTTGCCAGTCGACCTTCGGGGAAAAATGATGCGTTAGGTGCAGAAGAAAACAGAAAATGTGACTTTATTTGTATTAAATTTATTAATTAAAGATAAATCTAACTTAAATACCGCAAACATAAAACCAAAATTATTTTTAAAACTTTAGAAGGTTGTAGTTCCTAAATGCTATGGAATTTGGACTTGTTTTTTTTTGGTGATGCATATTTTGATAAACAGTAACCATAGCAATAATAGGATCCCAATTATTCCTCATAAAGGAATTAATAAATAAAACCTAAAACAACAAAAAAAATCTCTGTTCTTTCTAAGCATAGAATATTGAGGTTCTTTTCTAGAAATCAATCATGTTTGTTAATATAATTGCATGTCGTTTAAGCAAAAAAAGTGTTACTTTTTCAAGGTAAACATATTTTTATATTTTCCATAGAAATATTTTAATGTCAAATATCTTACGTTTAAATTAAAATTGTCGCACGGAAGTTCTACTCTTCTATTGATAACGATTTTGTTTATCGATAGATGTAAATAAAATAAGATGTCCGTTTTTTCAGTAAAAAATCATAATGTGTTGTGACCTTTCTGCAACTCATTTTGAAGAAGATCTTGTACTTTCTTCTTGAATGTAAAGCAGTAAGTGGATATTCTGATTTCAACTGGGAGGCATTTCAGAGGAAAACTAACTGTAAAAAGAAGGAAGAATTGATGAAGTTGGAAGTGTGGAGGGGCAAAGAAGAAGCATATTATTTGTTGACAGAAGATTTCGATTGTTGATCGAAGATCCTTAACTATTGGACTCAGAGGTATAATTATATTGTTAAAATCATTTATAGATCGATTCACTTTTCCGGTGGTCCCTCTATTTTGCATAGACGCCTAAGAGCAATTTGCAAAACCATGTATCATTATTTTCTAAATTTTCCAGGAGGAAGAAATAATTGTGTATCTTGGGTAATAGGATAATTTTTTTGCGACTCAACTTGCCATATATTACAGGAATGTGATAAAAATATTATATTTGCTATTATAAATATCTAAATTTATAATAGCAAAGCGAGAGGCAAAATGAAGTAAAATGAAAAAAAAAAAAAAGTGGCCGTGATGCTTCCCTGTTAAACAGGGAAACATCACGGCCACAAAATATTATGGGTCCTAAGTGAGCTATATTACAAACAAAAAATATATATTGACGATACCGATTTGTGACCTATCTAGGCATATTGGGAATTGTCTTACAGAAATTGTTAACAGATCTCTGATCTGATCGAGACTCTGATCGGTTACTGGCAATTACATTAGAACTTTGAGAAATAAAAATATTATAATATTCGTACAATTTTAACAACCCTGAGGGCAGAGACTGTTTAGCAT